CACTACCCCATCCATCATGTGTTTTCACTACCCCATCCATCATGTGTTTTCACTACCCCATCCATCATGTGTTTTCACTACCCCATCCATCATGTGTCTTCTCTACCCCATCTATCATGTGTCTTCTCTACCCCATCTATCATGTGTCTTCTCTACCCCGTCTGCCCTGTGCCCTACCCTTGATACTGATACACATCTCTCCCTCTCCTACCTATGCAGGTTTGACTGTACAGTACTTGGGTCACATGTTTTTGTTTCAGTGACAGGAACTACAACACCAAAGTATTTTTTTTTTTTAAGTAGGACTTACAAGTGGTACCCTCCAACCACCCACGTCACCAGGATACAATGTGTCAACTGTGTACAATGTGTCTCTGTGTCCAATGTGTCCCTGTGTATGATGTGTCAGATGTGTCTCTGAGTATGTACAATCTGTCACTGTGTACAATGTGTCGCTGTGTACAATGTGTCTCCGTGTACAATTTGTCACTGTGCAAAATGTGTCTATGTGTACAATGTGTCAGACGTACAATGTGTCTCTGTGTATGATGTGTCTGTGTACAATGTGTCTCCGTGTACAATGTGTCTCTGTTAGACCTGCATGTGAGCCTCAACCAGATTGTCTGAAAATTTTGCGCACCCCCCCCTCATAACTTTAGACTTAGAGCTTTTAAAGTGTGGGTGTCATAAAAGGAAGGATTTCCGAGTAACGAGCGACCACCCAAACAAACACAATAAAGAAGAGACCTAACCCTAACCCAAACCCTATCAGCCTATCCCTAGGCCTAACCCAAAAAAGAACCTGCAACGGCCCTCATGTAAAAAGGCCACCACAAGTAAAAAAAAAAAAATTTAAAAAAAAAGAAAGAAATAAGCAAACTCCAAAACAAACAAGGAGCATTTATAATAATAAAAATAATATGGCCTACATTGCTAAAGAGTTCGATACAATAGAATTGGATAAAGATCTATGAATCCTCCATACAGAATCTAGATCTCAGTGATCTAAATAAATCTAGATCTAGATCTAGTAGAACAAGTGAATAGGAATAGATCTAAAATCTAGGCCTTGAACGAGAAATCCGCATCCGATTCCGAAGAGAGGGACTCAGCTGAGTCTAGGGGTCTAGATTCTAGATTAGATCTTTATTTTAAGTAAATAATTCACGCACCTGATAAAATGCGTTTTACCAACATTAATATTACAGCACAACCTATAATAAGGTTTGACACAATAGAATTGGAATATGAATCCTCCATTGAGGTCTATAATGATCTATAAATCTAGATCTAGAGTAGAACAAGTGAGTCGTACTTGAAAGAATCCACATGATCTGAACAATCAGTAAATGAACGAAATTCAAAATGGCCGCTCGAGCAAGCAACTGAAAGTAGATAATTTAAGTCGTCGTACTTTTTCGTATTCGTATTTCCACTCAGGTTCCGACAATTATGTCGGAAACGCCGACGTCGGTAGTCGGAGGTCGGCACGAAAACGAAAGTGCCGACAAAGCCGACGGGAGAAAAAGGGGTCGCTGGCAGTCGGCCAGGACTCGCACTTCGCACATTGACTAATACAGGTGGGCCTAGCCATAGCATCAGCCGGCTCGCGGGTCGGGGTCGCGATTGTCGGATTTCAGACGATTGTCGGCAAACATGCAGGTCTACTCTGTGTATGATGTGTCTGTGTACAATGTGTCTCTGTGTACAATGTGTCTCTGTGTACAATGTGTCTCTGAGTACAATTTGTCACTGTGTACAATGTGTCTCTGTGTAAAATGTGTCGCTGTGTACAATGTGTCTCTATGTACAATGTGTCAGCTGTGTACAATGTGTCGCTGTGTACAATGTGTTGCTGTGTATGATGTGTCAGATGTGTATGATGTGTCGCTGTGTATGATGTGTCGCTGTGTACAATGTGTCTCCGTGTACAATGTGTCAGCTGTGTACAATGTGTCGCTGTGTATGTGTCAGATGAGTATGATGTGTCAGATGTGTATGATGTGTCAGATGTGTATGATGTGTCAGATGTGTATGATGTGTCAGATGTGTACGATGTGTCAGATGTGTCGCTGTGTATGATGTGTCAGATGTGTACGATGTGTCAGATGTGTCGCTGTGTATGATGTGTCAGATGTGTCAATAAGGGAGCCTAATGTCTGTCATGGCATTTGTAGGCTCCCTTAAGAAAATGAAGTTTATCCACCCAAAAAGCTTCAGGAAAATCAGTTTTCTGTCTCTCCTGTAAAATTTGAAAAACATGACCTACCATAGTTTACTTGGCAGTCCTCGAATCTGTACACAACATTTCACCTGCGTGTAATGTATTACCTGTGTGTAATGTATTACCTGTGTGTAATGTATTACCTGTGTGTAATGTATTACTTGCGTGTAACGTGTCACCTGTGGTAAAATCGATATACCTCACTGGATGGCACCTATTCACTCACCTGTGGCGCACCAGCGTCTTATCCTTCCCAGTCCATGCCCGAGCACGAGCCCCATCCGAGCTGTCCAGCTTCCTCCTCTTCCTGCCCACATTTCCAACGTCAGCCTCTCCACTCCCATCACCCACAGCACGCTCATCCCATTTCTTTTCCCTCCTCCCCTTTGCCGGGGCAGCATCCAGCGGTCGGGCCTTTTCCTCACGTCGCGTCCTCTTCTTCCCCGGGACCGGATGATCAGGGAGCACATCTGCCTTCCCCCTGGTCGGATTACTAGGGGTAAAAATCTCCCTGAATTTGTCCCCCGCCATCACCGCGGCAAGGCGGCGAGCTCTTTTGCCCGCAGAGCCGTTTGGTGGACAACTTTTGTCTGCAGCAGGCGCATTTAGAGTCTCGCCCCCCGCCGACAACACATCAACGTTCTCTTTGTCTCCCGTGTCACAACCGGCTGCTTTACCAACCGCTTTCAAAGACGCTTTGCTGGTTTTGCTCGTTTTAGATTTGGACTTGGATTTGGAAGCTGACGTGTTTCTGCTAGGTCTGGTCTCCTGTGACTCTGTGCCAGGCGATTCTTCGCTGCATAACTCTTTCCCATGTGACTCTGGCAACTTGCCGCACGACTTTTTGTCATGTGACTCTTTACCAAGTGATCCCTTGCCATGGGACTTTTTGCCGCGCGACTCTTTGCAATTTGACTGCGACTCCTTGCTGCTTGAGTTTTTGCTACACGACTTTTTGCCAATCCACTCCTTCTTGTGGGTTAATGATCGTTTTGTAACCCCAAGCCGAGATTTGCCAGAACAAGACGGTCTCCCCGTCTTCCCATCAGCGAGGGGCCCGGGAGGGGTGGCATGCGCCGAACCAGAACCTGGCCCCGCAACACGAGGAGAAGAGTGTTTGGGAGACTGGAAGCCCTCCCCTTGTCGCCCGCTGGAAACACTCTGACCATTGGCGTGGAGCTCCACAACGCCGCTGATGCCCGAGTCACGAGATTTGCCGTTGCTTTTGGAGGACACAGAGCTGGCCGGAGTCACCTGGCCAGCAGTCAACTCAGGTGCTGTGGAGAGGCGGCCAGCAGACGGCGAGGTGGGTGACAGGGCAGAGAGACTCCGCGACAGGCTCTTGTGCAGTAAGCTCCTCTGGGACCACTGAAGCAGACATAGTATATCATTGACAAGTTAGTAACACACACATGGTATGTCATTGACAAGTCAGTAACACACACATGGTATGTCATTGATAAGTCAGTAACACACACATGGTATGTCATTGACAAGTTAGTAACACACACGTGGTAAGTCATTGATAAGTCAGTAACACACACATGGTATGTCATTGACAAGTTAGTAACACACACATGGTATGTCATTGTTCAATCAGTAACACACACATGGTATATCATTGACAAGTTAGTAACACACACATGGTATGTCATTGATAAGTCAGTAACACACACATGGTATATCATTGACAAGTTAGTAACACACACATGGTATGTCATTGACAAGTCAGTAACACACACATGGTATGTCATTGATAAGTTAGTAACACACACATGGTATGTCATTGATAAGTTAGTAACACACACATGGTATGTCATTGATAAGTCAGTAACACACACATGGTATGTCATTGATAAGTCAGTAACACACACATGGTATGTCATTGATAAGTCAGTAACACACACATGGTATGTCATTGATAAGTTAGTAACACACCCATGGTATGTCATTGATAAGTTAGTTACACACACATGGTATGTCATTGTTCAGTCAGTTTTTTTAGTTTCAGTAGAGGTTTTGCTCGCAACTGCATAAGGTCATATGAGCCCCAGAAGATTAGAGGTGTTACACGAGAGTAACAAACATAAAAAAGAAGAAGGGGAGAAAGGGAACAATAGATGTTTGATAGGAAAGAAGAAGCAAACCACACCAGAGCACCCGCCAACCATCCACTGTTCAGTCAGCAACACATACATGGTGTAATAATGTTCAGTCAGTAACACACACAATGTTCAGTCAGTAACACACACTATGTTCAGTCAGTAACACACACACAATGTTCAGTCAATAACGCACACAATGTTCAGTCAGTAACACACACACCCACACACACACACACACACACACACCGTTGCTAACAGGAGATTGTTGCTCAGTGTGTGTTTTGTTGCCACCTGAACATTGTTACATCGCCTGTCAATGCTCCTGACAAAATGTTATGTAACGTGTGTTACTGACTGAACATTGTGTGCGTTATTGACTGAACACGCACGCACGCACACACACACACACACACACACCGTGTAGCATTGTTCAGTCAGTGGCACAGACGCCACATGATCATGAAATAGATCAACAGAGAGATGAGTTATTCATTGCTGGGAGAAAGTAAGACAGACAGGAAATTACGGAAATTATTTTGCATTTATTTATCAACCCTTGACTGTACAGCGTTGTTTTTTGTAATTTTCAGTGGCGATTTGGGAAGGTAGTCGAGGCGACAAAGAACACGGATCTTCGAAGAGTACCACACAAAGAACGACTATTCACAGTGACTGGAACTATTTCTTCACAGTAATTGGGACTGTAAATTGTGTTGTGATGTGTTTTTAGCTGCGTCATAGTTGTGTTGTAACTTGATCTTGTTTGTTTCTGCATTTCTCCACTGTCAACTTAGAGGGAGAAAAAGAAATTCTAGGGTCTCATAAACCACTTTTGTAGGAATATATCCAGGCAAATTAGGAATTAGGTTAGATCTAAGGCAAAGTCCAAATGTTGAAGGTGTAGATAGTGAAAACAGACTTTCAAAAATACTAAAAGGGAAAAAAATGGCGGACTTTCAAAGTTGACCCAAAATCGCCCGTCTCTGGGTGCAAAGCTGGTCCAAAACATGCCCACCGACACGGCAACAATCAGTTTTTTAGTTTTAGTAGAGGTTTTACGGCGTTCGCAACTATATAACGTCATATGAGCGCCAGAAGATTAGAGGTGTTGCAAGAGAATAACAAACATAAAAAAGAAGGGGAGATAAGGACTACAGATGTTTGATAGGAAAGAAGAAGAAGCAAACCACACCAGAGCACCCGCCAACCACCGACACGGCAACAATCATCTTGGGAAGCAGGGAAAAAGCAGGGCAGATGGACAAACGGGAGCAACAGAGGAAAAAAAACAGAAGATGAACCCACCAGTGACGCCCTTCAACCACCCACGAGGCCGTGGTGAACTGACCTACCTTTGGCAGACGAAGGATGTGTCTGGTCTCCGCCGTGAGGGCCCTCTCTGCCGTGTCCGTGTCAAACGTGACCTTGACCTTGTTGGTGCCCGGCACCACAGAGTACGTCTGACCTAGCCAGCTGGCCAGGGGCGGCAGGGAACGCCGTCCACTCCGGGTCAAGGTCAGGTCTTCTGGGGAACTCTCCCGCTTGATGACGCGCGCCGCCGTCAGAACTGGGCACGGAAGAGACGAGCAGAGACTAAAGACGTGTCACAATCATTGTTTAGAGTTCCGAGTGGTTTGGAAAAAAATATTCAATGTCTATAACCCTCCAAGTGTCGGGAACAAATAGCTTGTGGTGTCAGGGGAACTTGCATGATTTCATCACATTATATTGGAAAATGCTTGAGAACAGTCAAACCAAGCAAGTAAATGCTATAAACCTTTACAATTTCAGGAAGTAGTACGTATGTATACTGGACATCAACATTTGGAGGGTTAATGTGAGTATTTAGTTTAGTATCACTAGAGGTTTTACGGCGCTCGCAACTGCACAAGGTCATATGAGCGCCAAGGGGTGGATGTCAAAAGAGAATTCCTTACAGGGAATCAGATTTACTCTGCTCACCTCTCTCGCTTCAACAGCACAAAGTCTGCTTCGACTATCAAGGCACCCTGGAAATAGCAGATCACAAGAAAGTGACAAACATATAAAAGAAGTAGAGAAAAATGATGATAGTTTAGGAAAGAAAAAGCAGCAGTTCCCTGTTGCAGTTCGAGCACAGTTATGAGCATGACATTGATGAATCAGCCCATTACAATTACAATTTTGCTGTGCATAAAAATTCGAGATGTTAATGTCCCCCCTTTGGGAATAGCCTAAAGACACTTCATTAAGTAGCACCGCCCGGGGGGGGGGAGGGAATAATGTAAGTGTTTTTACGCCTCCAACGTTCCAGCAGAAAGACCGAGATACTCGACAAAAATTCTCCCCACAAGAGAATTGAAATGAATCCCCGGGTTGCATGCGACGATGAAACGCCTGACCGCTTTACCACAAACACAGAAGAGCATATTGACACAATGACAGGGACACTAGAACAGGCATTTAGTGCTAAAAAAGACCCCACAAAGGCAGAAACATAAGAGAGAAAGTAAAAAAGTAGGACCTACCACTGGAGCCCTCCAAATGTCCGCACTTATCATCTATCCACTGTTCTTACTCAATATACTACATCAAAATTAACATGCCACCTCAAAATTAACATGCTACCTCAAAATCAATGTATTACCTCAAAAATAACACGCTACCTCAAAATCAATGTATTACCTCAAAAATAACACGCTACCTCAAAATCAATGTATTACCTCAAAAATAACACGCTACCTCAAAATCAATGTATTACCTCAAAATTAACATGCTACCTCAAAATCAATGTATTACCTCAAAATCAATGTATTACCTCAAAATTAACATGCTACCTCAAAATCAATGTATTACCTCAAAATCAATGTATTGCCTCAAAATTAACATCTACCCCAAAATCAGTATCTTTTTTTCCAAGTACTGTGACCACGTCATATAATGTTTTTACTACATCAGCGTGTCAAGTCAGTTTATCAGTAGTAAAGCCATAAGACTATATTATTACTAGCCAAGTGTGAAAAAATCACTGTGTCCTGTGAACATATCAGTAAGTCATATGAATTCATGAGTCAGTCATATCATCATATTAATAAGTCAGCTCACTAAATCTTTAAGTCGTCTATACATATTATATTTGTGAAGGTCCTTGACTCTGGCCACCTAAAACTTCCCAACCACTTAAGTTTCGAATTTGAAAAAATTAATAGCGGTTCAGAATTATTTAAAGGGTGCACAGTTTTATTGAGGTGTGTGAAGTCACTGTAGTTTAATTTTCAGTTTTTCATTAGTTTCACTTGGATCTATTCTTGGGAAAGTCCATCTTCTAAGACGCCATGTAAACAATTGAGGTTTCCGTTCACAAGCCGTGCGCACTGTTTCCACACCTTTGAATTCCTGAAGTGTACCACCACGAAAGCCGAATAGAGAATTAATCTATACATCTCTATTGTACCACGAAAGCCGAATAGAGAATCAATCTATACATCTCTATTGTACCACGAAAGCCGAATAGAGAATCAATCTATACATCTGTATTGTACCACGAAAGCCGAATAGAGAATCAATCTATACATCTGTATTGTACCACGAAAGCCAAATAGAGAATCCATACCTGCCAACATTGCCTGGGCCAAAATCTGTAGTTGGACGCAAATTTTTGTCCAAAAATCTGTAGTTGACCTAAACAATCTGTAGTAGGCTATATTACCTCTTGTCGCATACTTAATTTGGGACCCTTATCAATATTTTTTTTGGACCCACATCAAATATGCATATGCATGATTGTGTTTGCGACTTCCAACAAATGTAGAAAATGACAAAAAGAACAACAACAAAAAGGCAAATATGAAAACTACCAGAGGCATTTACCCTATTAGTAGTTGGTGCAGTTCCTGTCCTATTCATACCTGCACGCACACACACAAATGAAACCAACCCCCCCCCCCCCCCAAAAAAAAAAACCAGAAGCAAAGAAGAAAAGATGAAGAAAAGGTGGGCCTTGGATGACTTAGGCCTAGCCTTGGCCTTTTGTCTTTGCAGAGTTTACAAGGAAAGAGTATGACGGATCCCGAGTCCACACAAGGCCTGCACCAACACGCGTTTTGCAGAGAGTTTTCTAGATCTAGATCTAGTGGTAATCAAAAATTTAGAATACTAAAATTTGCTTCCAAGTTCAGTTTTTGTCCCCTGGTGTTGCCTTCAACCCCACCCCCCCTCCCCCGAAAAAAAATAATCCTCCCCCCATTCCGGAGGCCTATACTATGCAGCGCTCAGACTTTGAATGAACTTTGGTGACCCCTACAAGTGCCGGTGCTCACAATGTGATGGAACGCGCAAGTTCATTGACCGGTCACAATGGCGAACCCGACAAGACGCTTGTATAACTATAACTTTTTTTTCTTTTCTTTTTTTTTTTTCACAAGTGACGGCACAGCTACTACCAGCAAATTTCTAGGTGGTAACGAAAGTGAAAGTATATCTTGATTATCCCGATCAAACGTCGGTATCACACCCGCTTGCCACCATAGCCGCCTGTCTGCGTGAAGAAACATACTCTCAAGGGAGCCAAATGAATCACAATCGCGATCGGCAAAAATGAACTTACGGGCGTTATTGGATTTGGTTTTGAAATATTCTATAACTTTCTCAAATTCCCGGGTAATTCCCGGGGCCTGGCAGTCACCCTGCTGAATCCCGAAGTCGGTGGCTTCATCTCAAAATCGGTGGATCGGTAGTTTGACCCAAAAGTCGGTGATCTACCGATTTTTTCTGTAGGGTTGGCAGGTATGAGAATCAATCTATACATCTGTATTGTACCACGAAAGCCAAATAGAGAATCAATCTATACATCTCTATTGTACCACGAAAGCCAAATAGAGAATCAATCTATACATCTCTATTGTACCACGAAAGCCGAATAGAGAATCACAATCTTTACATCTGTATTGTTCCACGAAAGCCAAATAGAGAATCAATCTACACATCTGTTATATAATGTTTGGCAACTTGGAAACACACGTGTCACTTTTCTCTCAAGATATATTGCTCCATTCCAGCAGAGAGTCAAAAGAGTAGGCCAATGACTTTCAGTTTACGTTAATGCACTCATGATTCGTTTCATCGAAAGGGGGCCCAGCTAATGTAACAATATCACCGAGTCATGTGACTCTTATCACCAAATCTTGTGAATCTGCCATCAAACCATGAGACTGTTCTCAAAAACAGGTGACTATATCATCAACTCATTTGTCTTATCACTAAAACATGAAACCATATCACTGCCAGTCAGTCATGTAACAATATCACTAAGTCAAAAGACTACATCATCAAGTTGAGAGACTATATATGTGAGGCAGCGTGGTGAAATCAGGCGCTCGTCAAAATAATTAAATTGAAGAAACTGGCATTTTTCTGCCAGTTTGGTAGTTTTTATAGAATTTTTATTTTTTCGCTTTACACCATTGTTGTCCAATTAAGAACACATTTCTGGGTGGATTTTACAGAAAAATGTTGATCAAAGGCACAAAAATGTAAGTTTTCAGTTTCCACAGACTATCCAGCTAAGGAAATAACCAAACTTTGGAGGCCATTTTCTCGCTAATCCTTCCTTTGAAACCATTCGACCCCACCTTCTTCGATCTCAAATATCTTGACTTCTGTTCAAGATAGATGAGCATTTTTTTCACAGATAGCAAGACAATTGAACTAGTTTTAAGATGATACCAATAATTCCACATGCTCAAAAATTGATGAGCACCTGATTCTACCAGGTCGTGGCACATATTATTGAACCAAACCACCTTTACCACCGTCACTTTCATCCTAACCCAGGGGGTTAACTCACTAGAGATCTGATCCAGAGGATTCACTTCTGTTGACCTCCCCTTAGCGACTGCCTTCGACCTCCTCCGAGCCAGGAGTTTCTTTGCGCGGCCGCCAAGCAGTTCCATATCTACTGAGATGCTGAAACAGCAAACACAAGACGTAGATTTAGTTTTAGTGAGGGTTTCACGGCACTTGCAACACAATAAGGTCATATAAGTGCTGAAGATTAGAAGTGTTACAAGAGAGTAACAAACACAAAAAAGAAGGAGGGGAGATAAACACGATAGATGTTTGATAGGAAAAAAGAAGCAAACCACACCAGAGCACCCGCCTACCACCCACCAAGACGTAGATGCAGGGACCACAGACAGTAAACAGCACATGATAACCTACATAAAACTGGAGATAGTACACTATACAAAATGAGGTAAATGATAGACTGGAGATGGTTTTAAAAAATGTAAAAATATTTTTAAAAGTCCATGGTAACCTACACAATAAACTGGAAATGTTTTGAAAAAGAAAAAAAAAAAAAAAAAAAAAAACAGTCTATGGTAACCTACACAATAAACTGGATAGGTTTTTAAAAAAACAACAACAAAAAACCCATGGTAAACAGTATGTGGTAAACTACACGGTAAACTGAAGATGATAAATTACACTGTGAAAGAGAGATAACAACAAGGTAAAATGCAAAAGGTAAAATACACGAAAAACTTGAGTTAGGTAACTTTCAACCTAAACTAAACTAAAGACAGAGAAGCAAACCGTCAACTGCCAGTGGTAAACAGATGGAGACAGTAAACTACACTATAAAATGGAGATGGTTAAACTGCACAGAAAGCAGAACTAGGTTTACAGGTACTGAACTGTAAAACAGTACAAGGTAAAATAAACAGTATACTATAGATGGCAAACTACACTTCCGACTGGAGTATGATAGAAAAACATGGTGAGCCGAGATGGTGAACTGCACGGTAAAATGAGTTTAGTTTTAGCAAGAGTTTTACGGCCCATGTAACACAATAAGGTCATATATAAGTGCCAAAGATTAGAGGTGTTACAAGAGAGTAACAAACATAAAAAAGATGGAGAGATAAGGACGATAGATGTTTGATAGGAAAGAAAAAGCAAAGCACACCATAGCACCCGCCAACCACCCACCGGTAAAATGAAGACGGTACAACAAAATGTTGAACGTACACAAGAAAACTATACAGAGGCGTCGGTGGTCTAGTGGTTAGGCTCTCGGACTCGCAACCGTAAGGTCACGGGTTCGAATCCTGTCAGGGGCCCGACGTCGTGTCCTTGGGAAAGGCACTTTACACGAATTTTCCTCACTTCACCCAGGTGGGAATGGGTACCCGGCTATAGACAGCGAAAGACCAAGTCAGTTTGTTAGTGTTTGAGCGCTTAATCAGCTGCTTGCACTGTATGCTTCCCGGGAAGCTGAGAATGTTTCGGAGTGTTCTATGGTCTGCTGGGGTAACAATATAGTGTGAAGCGCATAGAGCCTGCTGTTGAGCAGGGACATGCGCTATACAAATGCTATTTATTTATTATTATTAGGATTAGGTAACAAGCTACATGGAAAATCGGAAATGGTACACTAAGCACTAAACTGAAGATGCCTTTTCGCATCAATCTGAAATGGCTCAGTAAAGCTGTCTTAAATGTCTCCTCATACCTGTCTTCGCATACTTGTCTCAAATGTCTTCTTATGCCTGTCTTTAATGTCTTTGCTTACCTGTCTTCATTGTCTTTATATCATCCAGTGCCAGATCTGCGACAGACATCAGCGATCATGGTTCTCCATCCATGCCTTTGCTCGGATGCTCTTAAAAAAAAGCTATGTTTCCCTGGTCTTTCCCCGTTAGAGTTCTGTTTAGGTTCCCCAAGTAGGTTGTTCTGTTCCTACCCCTGCCTCATTTGCCTTCAATTTTGCCATTGACAGCTAGATGTTCAAGACCTTTACGTCTATTCAAGTGTCCCAAAAACTGCATTTGTCGTTTCCTGATTGTTTTTAACAGTCAGCGTCCCACGTGGGCTTCATATACTTGTCTTAAATGTCTTTTTATTTGTCTAAAATATCCTCAAACGCCCGTCTTCAATGTCATCAGTATACTCTTCTTCCATAAAACTGTTTTCAGGTCTTAAGATTAAAACCTGTAAATTCTTTGCCATATCGACAGACCGAAGGGCTAGAACCCAAATGGCCGCTGGATCAGAAAAGTAAAGTAAAGTAAATTAGGTCTTAAGTATACCAATCTTCTGTAAAACAGTCTTTAACATCTTATAATACCAGTCTTAAATGCCTTCTCATACATGTCGTCTCACATCTGTCTTAAATGCCTTCGTTAACATGTTCTTAAATTTGTTCCTATACCGGGACCTGCTCTCAATGTTCTCTTCTACTCGACTTAAATGTCTTCTCACACCTGTCTTAAATGTCTTCTCACATCTGTCTTAAATGTCTTCTCACATCTGTCTTAAATGTCTTCTCATACCTGTCTTAAATGTCTTCTCACATCTGTCTTAAATGTCTTCTCATACCTGTCTTCAAGACTGCTGTAATACTTGTCCACAAGGTCTCTCCAGTCTTTGGGGAAACCATGAGAGAAAGCCACAACCACTTCTTTGGGAAAACCTGCATGTTACAAAGCAGAACAGGCCAGGGTCAGTGAGTTCATCAATAGGTCATTAGGTTTGTTGTTAGTAGAGGTTTTACGGCGCTCGCAACCGCATAAGGTCATATGAGCACCAAGGGGTGGATGTCAACAGAGAAGTCTTTACAGGGAATCAGACGAACTCTGCTCACCTCTATAGCTTCAACAGCACAAAGTCTGCTTCAACTATCAAGGCACCTCGGAAATAGTGAGACAAACACACAAAAGAAGTAGTGGAAAAATGACAATAGTAAGGATTAGGAAATAAAAAGCAGCAGTTCCCTGTTGCAGGTCAGGCACAGTTATGAGCATGACATTGATGAATCAGCCCATTTACAATTATAATTCTACTGTGCATAATAACTCGAGATATTAATGTCCCCCCTTTAGGAATGGCCTAAAGACACTTCAGTCAGTAGCACCGCCCCAGGGGGTTTAGGTCATTAGGATCCGGTCAGTTAGGCCATTTGAGTCAGGAAAGTTAGGACTTTAGAGTCAGGAAAGTTAAGACATTAGAGTCAGGAATGTTAGGACTTTAGAGTCAGGAAAGTTAGGACTTTAGAGTCAGGAAAGTTAAGACATTAGAGTCAGGAATGTTAGGACTTTAGAGTCAGGAAAGTTAGGACTTTAGAGTCAGGAAAGTTAAGACATTAGAGTCAGGAATGTTAGGACTTTAGAGTCAGGAAAGTCAGGACATTAGTCAGGAAAGTTAGGACATAAGGACGAGGTCAGTGGCTTCATGAACAGGACATCAGGACGATGTCAGTTAGGACATTTCATTCGGTTCATGAATAGGACATTGAGGTGAAGTCAGCGAGTTCATCATAAAAACATGTACATGGGTTGGGGGTAGGGATGGAAGGAGGGTTGTTTTAGTAAGCGTTTTACGGCACTTGCAACACAATAAGGTCATACAAGTGCCGAAGATTAGAGGTGTTACAAGAGAGTAACAAACACACACAAAAAGAAGGAGAAAAGAAAAGGACAACAGATGTTTGATAGGAAAGAAGAAGCAAACCACACCGGAGCACCCGCCAACCACCCATGAAGGAGGAGGGGGAGGGCACCAAGAACTACAACTGGGACATTAAAACAGGTGTACCAGGGATCGTGGGATGAAGGGGGGGGGAGAGAGAGAGAGAGAAAGAGAGGGGGGGGGGGGGGGGGGGGGGGAGAGGAGGATGTACTTTAAAAACCTGTAAATGGTGGATACAAAAACATGTGGTGTGTCAAAAAAAGGAACACAGAAAATGCCAATAACCATGTACACATATGTGAGGCAGCGTGATGAAATCAGGCGCTCATCAAAATAATGAAAGCATTTTTCTGCAGGTTTGGGAATTTTTATTGAATTTTTCTTTTTTGGATCAAAACCTTCCATGCTCATTAAAGAACAAATTTCTGCGTGGATTTTACTGAAAAACGTTGAAAAGGTGTAAGCCATAAAAGATGTAACTTTTCAGTTTCCACGGACTCAAGCTAAGGAAATTACTCAGCTTTGGAGGCCATTTTCTCCCTAATTTTACCTCTTAAACCAGGCGATCCCCACCTCCTTCGACCGCCAATATCTTGACTTGTATCCAAAATAAATGGATATTTTTTTCATCAGAAGCAAGGCAGACGGACAGGATTTACCAATTACTCCATATGACCCAAAAAATTGACGAGCGCCTGATTCCACCACATTGCCACACATGTAGTGTCCGGGAAGCAGTTTAGAATATGTACATGTACATGAGGGACGTGCTGAATAAAGTCCAGACTTTCATCAACAAATGTATGAGGAGTATCCTTAGAATTAAGTGGCAGGATAGAATAAGAAACGAAGAGCTATGGGAAAGGGCAGGACAAAAGGATATAGAAGTAGAAATAGGACTAAGAAAGTGGCGTTGGATGGGACACACCTTCAGAAAGCCCAGTGGAAACATCACAAGACAGTCACTGCAATGGAACTCACAGGGAGCACCAGGCAAGGGTTGGTAGGCCACGAAAGACTTGGAGGAGATGAGTGGAAAGGGACATGAGAGAGATGAAGCTCACTTGGAACGAGGTAGGAGGAAGGATGGCCCAGGATAGAGAAAAATGGAAGGAGCTTGTATGTGGCCTATACCCTGCCAGGGGTGAAAGGCATTGATTGTACATGACGGGACACAGGAACATCAACACAAGACTGGTGGAGACGTCAAAATGACCAGCGAAAGGGTCTGGCCCTTACCATTGTCCAGCGTACACAGTTTATTGATTTTCCCCTTCAGCTGGTAGAGGCTGCCAGAGACGGTCCGCAATTCCCGGCGGCTGCGCGCTTCTGTGATGGCTGTGCTGTGCCAGTAGCCGTCCACACCACTGCTTGTTTTTTGGGGGTTATTAGAGCAAAGAGAAGCAAAAGGACACAATATATTATAAGGGTTATTTAGTGAGAGGGAAAATATACGCCAAGTAGACAAATATATAGAGGCGAACAACAGAAGTAGGGCTTACCAGTGGCACCTTTCAACCCCCCACTCACACTGTTTTTGGCTTTAGTAGAGGTTTAGTTAGTTTTAATTAGTGTTTTACGGCACTCGCAACTGCACAAGGTCATTTGAGCGCCAAAAGATTAGAGCTGTTACAAGAGAGTAACAAACACTAAAGAGAAGGAGGGGAGATAAAGACGATAGATTTTTTTAAGGAAAGAAGGAGCAAACCACACCAGAGCACCCACCAACCACCCACTAGTAGAGGTTTTACAGCACTCGCAACTCACTGCATATGGTCATATGAGCGCCAGAAGATTAGAGGTGTTACAAGAGAGTAACAAACATAAAGAAGAAGAAGGGGAGAAAAGGACGATAGACGTTTGATAGAAAAGAAGAAGCAAACCACACCAGAGCACCCTCCAACCACCCACAGGGAAAATGTAAGCCAGGTAGACAAATATAGAGGCAAAGAACAGAAGTAGGGCTTACCAGTGGCACCTTTCAACCACCCGCTCACAATGTTGCACTGGGAGTGACAAGTTTGAGAACAGAGAGACACAACAGACACACACGCACATACAAACATAGTAACCACTGGGCTCTCTCTCTCTCTCTCTATCTCTCTCTCTCCCTCCCTCCCTCCCTCTCTCTCTCTCTCTCTCAATGGACGCAGGAAATCCGCTTCCTCGACAGACACACACACAAACATAGTAACCACTGGGCTCTCTCTCTCTCTCTTTTTCCCTTTCCCTCTGTATCCGCCTCTCTCTCTCTCTCTCTCTCTCCCTCTCTCCCTCCCTCTCTCTCTCTCTCTCAATGGACGCAGGCAATCCGCTTCCTCGACAGACACACACACACACACACACACACACACACACACACACACTCTCTCTCTCTCTCTCTCTCTCTCTCTCTCTCTCACTGACACACACACACAAACACGCACACTCACACACACATTGTTTAGTATATCCCGCCAGCTCATTTGACCTTGTGGGGTTACGAGCGCCATAAAACACTAACTTAAAAAAATCCCCAAAACAAACATACACTCATACGCACAAACATCATATTATTTGA